TCCGAGAGAGAGAGCGCGCATGCGCGAGCAGGGGGCGTGGCAGGCAGAGGGAGAAACAGGCTCTCTGTCAAGCAAGGAGCCAGATGCGGGACTTGATCCCAGGACCCTGCAATCATGACCTGAGCTGAAGGCAAACGTATAACGGACTAAGCCAGCCAGGTGTTCCCTGCTCTTTTTATTTGAAAAATCAGAGCAGGGAAGGTGGGTATGGGGATGGATTTCAGTATGAGATCGTATTACTATTACAGAAATCATGAAAGTACCTAATTCTCTGACAATACAGTTCGAAGCACATTTCTACCTTTATAACTCTATTGAGAAATAGAAAATGTTTGTATTATTCTGATAATATTGAAAAATACAGTGTGGCTTAACTAAAGTTAGCTATTACTCAGAGAGAGCCTAGTACTTCCTATACAGTAACCTGCAAAATTGGTATCTCCCTGATTTCTTTTTTTTTTTTTTTTAAGATTTTATTTATTTGAGAGAGAGAACACAAGCACAAGCTAGGGGGAGAGGCAGAGGGAGAGAGAAAGGGAGAGGCAGACTCTCCTCTGAGCAGGGAGCCCAAAGTGGGGCTCAATCCCAGGCCCATGGGATTCATGACCTGAGCTAAACGCAAACACACCTAACTGACTGAGCCACTCAGGCATCCTGGTATCTCCCTAATTTCTTTAAATCTATATGGAAATCCAAAACAGTGTCAATAATCCACCTAAAGGGAAGACAGAAATTTTCTTTGGGCAGACTAACAACTAAGCTATTAATTAATGTTTTAGGTCTGATAAAAGGCAGAGTAAGAAAACTCACTTTATCCAGGAGAAGCTTACTTTTAAATTCCAAACTTCACTCAAAACACTGCATTCAATTTCTACTTATATGAGTTCTATCAATTCTCTGTATAGGTACAGAATTCACTGAAACTTTGAACAGGGGCCATAGAGAAAACTTTAGTCACAGATACAAATTTATGGCCTTTTAGCAAAATGCATGCACAATAATCATAAAGCCAAATCATATAAATACAAAATGTCATCTGAGTACTAGCTAAAGAATCATTTCCATTTTTTATATAAAGCAAAAAAACCAGATTGATTCTTGTATTTATTAAATGTAACCGATAATTCAGGAAACCAGACATTTTTTTTAAAAGAAAAAAAAAATTCTTTCCTCAAATAGATTTCACATGCAAGTCACTTATAAGAAAATGTCCATTGTCATTGTTCAAACTACCAATATTTACCATGTGAAGACATTCACTGCTGCCATCTATCTTTAATCACTGCTGTGCAAGTACCTACGACCCTTTTCAAAGTGCATTAAAACCAATAGAGTCAGCAATGGTAGCAAGGGAGTGGGGCAGGAAGACTAGGAAGGATATCAAGGGAATCTATTTTGTCCTATGATCATTTGGCACTCTAGTAATATTTAGTTTTTTTTTTTTAAGATTTTATTTATTTATTTGACAGAGAGAGAGGGAGAGAGGGAACACAAGCAAGGGGAGTGTGAGAGGGAGAAGCAGGCTTCCCGCTGAGCAGGCAGCTCGATGCAGGGCTCTATCCCAGGGCCCTGGGATCATGACCTGAGCCAAAGGCAGACGCTTAATGACTGAGCCACCCAGGCGCCCTGTGATTTTCTTTTTTAACAAAGCACACTAAAACATGTTCAACACCATCATTCATTAATGAAATGCAAAACAAATTTTTTAGATGCCACTTCACACCCACTAGGATGGCAATTTTAAAAAGAAAAAGAAAATAACAAGGATTGGAGAGGATCAGAGAAATAGGAATCCTACATTACTGATGGGAATGTAAAATGATACAGCTACTGTGGAAAACAATTTGGCTTTCCTCAAAAAGTTAAATATAGATTTAACAAATGACCCCAACACATATATAGATATACATATCTATATATATCGAAAAGAGCTGAAAACAGGGACTCAATATTCACAATAGGCGAGAGGTGGAAACAATCCAAATGTTCATCAACTGATAAATGGATAAATAAATTGTGATATATACATTCTATTGAATATGATTAGCCATAAAAAGAATGAAGTACTGGTACATGCTATAACTTCAATGAACCTTGAAAACATTATGCTAAGTGAAAGAAGTCAGACATAAAAGGTCATATTTTATTATTCCTTTTTATGAAATATGCAGAATAGGCAAATCCATAAAGATAGGAAGCAGATTAGAGGTTACAAGGGGTAAAGGGTAGGAGGAAATGGGGAGTGATTATTTAATGGGTACAGGGGTTCTTCTCAAGTAATGAAAAGTTTTGAAACTACAGAGAGGTGTTGATTATACAATACTCTGAATACACTAAATGTACTGACTTGTACACTTCAAAATGGCTAATGTGTGAATTACACTTCAATAAAAAGAATAAAAAGAAACAAAATAAAAATCTTTCCAAATAGTAGTGTTATAATGATCTGAAATTCGGGCCAGTAAGAAATGCTAGGCCTCCAAGAACAGTTCAAAATAGAGCTGCAGTCTATCTAGAGTTGTACCCTATTTTTGAGGTGAATGCTAATGATATGTATATATGTATGTATGTGTGTACATATATATATGCATATCCAGGAATAATAAAATTCTTTGCAAAGATATTAGTTTTTTCCAGCCATTTTTAATTTCAACCCTAAAATGCTTTCTCATTTTAACTGCCATCTACCTACTTTCCATCAACAACAAAAAAATCACTGAATATACTTTTTCAAACTATTTATATAACATCCCCACACTCTGCTAAGAATCACTACTACAAATAGAAAACTACCATTATGCCATTAAAATATGATTTGATCTTTTTAATTTAGCTCATGATTTTCAACATAAATGTACTGCATAAAATAAAATACCTTGTATAGGTAAAAACCTATGCCACAGAGAATTGCTAATTCCTCTGATCAAAAAGAGACCAGTTATCAAAATATAGATCTTATGATATAAATAAACATTTAAGTAATATAAACATGAGAATTTAATTTTTAATGCTGTAAACTAGGAAATTATAATATCAATTAATGTGCTTTTTTTCTTTCCTACAAAGTTTCTGGTTCTCTCCCACAACTGCCTAGGTTTTACCTTTGTTTTTGTTAGCATCAGAAAAAGGCCCCAGAGATTTGGACCAGTCTTGTGTTTTCCACCTTTTTCCACTGTGTGGCACTGAGCACATTTTTCAATAAAGATCTTCTTGCCTGCTTCAGCATCTCCCATTTTGTTCTGCAACAAAACATCAAAACACAGACCAAAAAAAATATCAGATTTGCAAAGCTGGAAAAAAAAATTCCATCACTTTGAGATGAATACTAATGATATTAAACAAAAAGGTAATTTAAAGCATGCATCCTTTAAAGTCTGAGTGCTCAAAAACACAAACATAGCATCCAATTTTATAAAGACTTAATCATCTCATTTATCAGATTTATTTTAAATTTTGAGCTATAGCTACTTCAAAAACATATTATGGTATAAGCCTGGTTTTACTTCAGCCTTCAAACAACTATAGTAATTTGTCTAGACCAATTATATTCCATTTTTTCTTTTCCCTTCCAAAAAGCGCATGTGCAAAAAACAATGCAAAGTTTCTAAGTCTAATTTGCATCCCCTTATTTAAAAATAAGGATAGAACAAAATGGAAAGGCACTTAAATGTGATATTTTTATAAGTACTTATATGCCTGCAATAATAGAACTGTAAAATTAAATATCAATCAAAAAAATGAGGCCATAGCAGGTTATATGTAACACGTAATTTCTCATTTACTTTATACTCTCAGCTATAAACACATCTACCAGATTAGATTAAGCATTGTCTCAAAGCAATCAAATAACATTATTGAGTTCAGTCAGCAATAGTATGTGTTTAACGTTAATGTAGTGTAAAATACTGTTCTAAGCAGGGAAGATTTTATTATACAGTGATACATATATACAATAAAATTTGTACAAAGATATTTTGGTTAAAACTACCAAAAATTTTGTTGCATAACTAAGTGCCTCCTCCATCTAAAATTATGTAAAAATTAAAATAATTTCAACTTATTGAAAAAAATGTAGTTTGAAATTCTAATGAATGTAGTACCTGGGTTTTGTTTACCTGCTCTTTTTTTTTTTTTTAATTTATTTATTTGACAGAGAGATAGCACAAGTAGGCAGGGCGGCAGGCAGAGGGAAAGGGAGAAGCAG